TACCACCTCTGATTAGCTGAGACTCAGGAGGCAGAGAATAGATGGGGGCAGGGCCAGTCAGAGGTGGTATTTACCGGTTCTCCAAACTACTCAAAATTTCTGCTACTGGTTCTCCAGAACTGGTCAGAACCTGCTGAATACCACCTCTGATCTAGTGAGTGTTTGAGAGAAAACTTCCTACCTTGATAAGTGGTCTTTGGATCCTGTCTGCTGCTTTTGCACTGCTTAGCATAGTGTGGAGGGGAAAGGAAGAGATGAAGAATTATAGTACTAAGGGAGCCTCAGGTGAGCTTAGCATTTCTGGTGGCCATGAAAAGTGATTGAAAAGGGCATTTTGGTAATTTCTTGGCAGGCACTGATTAACATCACTATATAAAGAACTATGGAGCGAAATGGAGGATTATTTGCATGGAGATATGACAGTGTCTTAGATCTCATGATGTAGATGCTATGTTCCACTAAAGCGTGCTTTGAGTCCTGGAATATCTGTGACATGTCAAATAATAGTTTCTGTGTAATTTGAATGTATAGTTAGTAAAACAATTGCAGAATACCCTCCAGTGGAATACATTTTAATCTTGGGAACTAACTGAATTGTACACAAGTAATTGGTCTAAGCTGCTATTATTGTTATAACTAGATTTGTACATATTTATTCTAAGGCTGAACAGAACTTCTTATGGTTTGAAAGCTCTTCGTGATTTTTTTCATCAGCATTTCTTCCATTTTCACCCAACCCTGCCTTGCATTCCAAATGGAGTACCCCTCCTCCCTGCAATTTGCCACGCAAGAGGCTGCTGGAAAACTTCCTGTGCACGCATGGGAGCCATAAAAGGCTTATTCTGGCTCTTGTAATTCAGTGGGTTTTTTTCTTCTCGCTTGCTCCTTTACTCCCTCCCTCCCTCTTCTTTAGTTGATTCTAGCCCAGGAACTGAGAAAATACAGGTCATCTCAGTCATTGGGAATACTTTTGCATTTGACTGTATTCCAGAGCAAAACCAAAGGGCTGAATTTATTCAGCTGGGGAAATCTTTTCTGCACCTTTTCTTCTACCAACATATAATCTGCATCACTTTTGGATTTACTTCCCACTTATAAAGGACTGCAGCCTCCAGGGAAAACAGAGCACAGATGTGAGTAACCATCCATAAATGCAGTTGGAGGGATTAAGGGGGCAAATGAGAGAATGACAGAGAGATTTTGGAGTTCAACCTGCTTTCTTTTTCTTTTGCAAAAGGTCTCGTTTCACAAGAATACATAACAGCTGGTTCTTCAATATTATATAGGGGGAAAAGGATTTTTGAAGCAACAAACACAGACTCAATGCTGTTATTTTTGCATTCCCCCCTCATTTTTCTCTTTGCCCGTGGAGCATCTTTTTTTGGTGCACAACTTTAATGAGATCTTAGATTAATTTAAGCATAGAGGTTATCAGTGATTCATCTATTATTCCTCAGTAGTTACTAAGAAGACAAATATGTCTCCGTTTGGCAAGCTGTATCCTTGATTTGTCAAAAGTCATTCTGTATTTTAAACATTTGGGAATATAGATATGCATGCTGTAACTGAGGAAATTGCATTTAAGTATGCGAAGCTGAGTTTACACGCCAAGAGAGATATACATTGGATATGCAGTTGGGGGGGGAAATGCTACCCAGAGTGAATTTTCTCTAAGGGTAATTTCAAGCAAAGTACAAAGTGTTTTCAAGAGATATGAGAGAAAGTGGCAGAAAACACCAGGCTAGGAATGTTATTGGTGATCATGAAATTAAAGAAAAGCCAATATTTCTCGCAGGAGGAATTGTCTCTCTAAGATATTCAAATAAACTATAGGAAAAATAAAATAATCAGATCGTATTTAGTATTGAAAGAATATCAAACAGCAAAATAGGAATAAATGATTCCTAGCCATGGAAACAGACCTTAGTTTGAAATGGCCCCTGACAGCAAATCTTATGAACCTGCGCCTGGCTTCTTGTGGATTCAGATACAAGATAGATTGACCCGAACTGCCATACTGAGAATTTTGAGTTCTAACTGGCAAGAACTATCTTTATACCTAGTATTTTAAAAGTATAAATATATTTTATGATCTTTTGCATGCAGAGTATGTACTTAAATACATTGTTCTATAGTTAATCCCTGTATATTTACATGACAAAGGAATTATACTAGAGTGAGTTAATATTATATAGTGCAGATAGGCAAATCCCTATGCAAAAGAATAAATGGTCACAAAATTAACATCAGAACCAATACTTAAGGGGCAAGCAGGAGAAAATGTCAATCTTCCCATGACATTCTGCTTCAGCCCTTCTTTTAAAAAAGGAAGTCAGAGTGGAGAAAAGATGAGTTGTATCTTAGCAAGTGTTGAATTCTGTTATTTGAGTCTTCAACTTAGAGACTTATTTTAATACCACTGTAGGTGTTAATTAATTCACCAGTGAAAGATTCCTTATAAATGCACTGTGAACGATCACTGGGTTTGGTTTTTACACTTCAAAATGATACACTATTTTAAAGTTGATTTTCCCTCTTATTTTCACTGTCATTATTTTGTTTTCCTCTTATAAATCAAAAAGGAAACTCCTTTGAGTTTGATTTCAAGTGATTTCATGGATGTATTGATATATTGATTGACACAATACATCCACCATAACATGGGACCATTTTTGGAATGAATTTTGACCTACCCTATAGCTCTGTCCCCCATCGAAATACTTTAAGGAGCCGAGGTGGCGCAGTGGTTAAATGCAGCACTGCAGGCTACTTCAGCTGACTGCAGTTCTGCAGTTCGGCTATTCAAATCTCACCGGCTCAGGGTTGACTCAGCCTTCCATCCTTCCGAGGTGGGTAAAATGAGGATCCGGATTGTTGTTGGGGGCAATATGCTGACTCTGTAAACCACTTAGAGAGGGCTGAAAGCCCTATGAAGCGGTATATAAGTCTAACTGCTATTGCTATTGCTATTTCCCGGCCAAACTATACCCATTAAAGCCAGACAAACTTGGCTTGTTCAAACCTTTCATCTAATAATAGACAAACACATTGGATGTTCTTTTATTTTAGCACTTTGTTATTTGATTTTTTTTCATTAAGAATAAATGAATTTGATAACTAAACTGGCCTTCTTCCATAACCACCACCACCACCCAGTTTGGGTTGAAAATCCCAATTATTGCATTACAGGCAAATGAAGTATACTGCAAGGAAAATCCCTCCTGCTAATATTTCAAAGTTTAAAACATTGTCCATCAAATTCATATGTATATATGAATTCGTATGTATGTATGTATGTATGTATGTATGTATGTATGTATGTATGTATGTATGTACACATACTTAACCCTTTAATAAAGGCCTTTCATTTGTTTTATGTTACTCTCTGACTTAATCATTGGGATAAATATATTCTAGGTGCTTCTATTTGCTTGATTAAGAATGTTAACAAAAACCCTGATCTTCTTGGGAATTGGGAGGATACTTTGCAGAAGATGCATAGTTAGAAGAGCAGGTTTCATATACTCTAGTATTTAAAACTAAGCAATTTGGATCTAGCTAATATTTGGATGAGGAACCCTGGGGAATTTGAGTGCTATTGTTATACCGGGAATTTTTTTTTAATCTCAGAAGAAAATATTCATAAATTACTTCAGTAATGTTGCCAGAAATTATATGGATGTGTCCAAATATTAGGGTGCTCCTACACTGGAGGTTTTAAGAAGTGATTGGAGAACCACTTCTCTGAAAAAAATGGTATAAGGTTTCTTGCTTGAGTAGGGAAATGGACTAGAAGACCTCATCCCTTCCAACTCTGTCATTCTGTTAAGTGCTTTTATATACAGTATATTTAGATCCCCTTCACTTTTATCAAATTTGTTATTCTGCAGCCTGATTCCACAGTTGTTGAAATTCATTCTTTTCTCTCATTAATCTATACTTAGTACCCCATAATGACAAAGTGAAAACAGAAGTCTATATCTATAAAGTATGCTATTAATCTACACACTTTCATTCTAGTTTACCACATTATCTTTTTGGGAGATGGGAAGAAGGAGAGATGATCTTCCATATGTTGTAAACAATAACCCTAACAATTCCTGCCAACATGGCTAACAAGTTCTTCAATGTTAATGCATCTTTACTTATTAATTAGTAACTTATGCCTGATGCACATAACTGCTGGAAAACCAGCCATTCTCCAAATTTGTCTATGGGTACAAATATAGGTAGGTTTCCATGAAATCAGACATGCTAATTTATCAAAATATTGTACTCTAGTATAATTCTTACTTGCCAATAATATATAAGCATCTAGGATCAACCACAAAGTATATTTGGAACAAGCCTTGGAAAAATCTATCTTAAAAACATGTTACATTCAACATGTTACATTTTTATGCCATTCATGGTGTTATCATCAGTTTGCCACTGGCTATCAGTTAAGGATGTGTTCTGAGTCCTGAAAATACTGCATGGGTTAGAACTGGGGTTGTGTTTGTTTTTTCAGGGTAACAACAGATAAGGAAGTGTTGGTAGAGGTTCTTCTGGCAAGAAAAAAGTAATAATATTCCCATTATATTTTGGTATAAGAAATATATTTGGAAGGGGCAGTAGTGAGGAAAATATGCTTTTTTATGAATTACATTTTAACAATTGTCAATTGAAAGTGATAATATATGCAATGTTATTATACATCTATATTTATGAGTGTTCTTGAGTTTTTTTCAGGAAGAAGAGGTAGAATACAAATTCAGAAATCGAATAAGCCAAGCCAAATAGTGGATGATGATAGCAACAAAGCCTAATTAATTTATCTATAGATTTTATTTGAATGTTTAATTATAGATTTTAACATATTAAAATTGTCAAGGTCCCAAAAAGCAGTCAAAATGAATTTTCTTATCAGAGGAAGTTAATATTTAGTAATGCCATCTATTCTACTTGTAAGAAGGATCTCTTCTCCATGTGTGACTATGGTATTGTAGTTAGCAGTGTGGTACAACTTCAGTTTAAGGAATCATTTGAGTAAAAAAGGGTATCTATTAAAGCAAATGTCCATTCAAACTGACTAAATTGATATTTGTATCAATTTATATAATTTGTATAATTTTGTATTTCACATTATTTATCTGATTGGTAGAAAGGGCCATCCATTGTTTGAACTGATTTGGAAACAACAGGCTTGGTGTGTTATTGGGGATGTAATTTCCACTGACATTTTATCCATTGCATCCGAAACGTGCTAAATAGGAGTTTGTAAAACTGAGCTTTTATTGCACAGTAACTGAATTTAAAAAGCAAACAAACAAATCAAGAATGTAATTGTTTTTCTCCCAATCTTATACATACTCTATAAACAGAATACTACTGCTTAAGGCCAGGTTTCTGCCCAAGTTGTTAGATCCATTTAAAATAAACAACTCACCTTAAAACAAAGTCAAATGAGTATTTGGAGCCAAAAGGCTCATTAGTTGACACAACAGCACATGTTGAGATCATATAATGGAAATTCCTGAAAAATTGCTGTCTTGGTGGGTGTGGCTAATAGGAAAGCACTCTTTGATCAGAAAGTAATTTAGTTAAAACACTGGAAATTAAAATGAATTATTCTATTCATCCTGCAGTTAGTTTTACAGTGATATAACATTCCCTTTGCAAAATAGAAAAAAAAACAGGAGCAGTAGACTAATTCATTTGTTAGTATCAACAAAAACTGTCAAGCACATGCCATTTTATCTTCTCATTTTTGAAACCATGAAAAGTCTGGTGCTTTTTTATAAACCATTGTGTGATATTTGCATACACAACAATATATAATCTGGGCCAATGCTTATTCTGGTATAAACCAATCCATTTAATGAAATGAGTTCTGGTTCCTGAGTGTATAGATCAGTAAATGTGCTATCTAAGAGGCCGGGGATTAGATATTATTGTCATAGACAAACAGGGCTGTCTTTTTAAAAATAACTCACTGCCCTCCTTGTTTTTCCATGGTCTGTTTACATTTCTGTTCTCTTACTTGTTTTTCTGGATTACATGTATGAAGCTTTTCCTTTATCTTACCTGCAAGAACAGTTGCATGCCAACTTGATGGGAACCACAGTTACACACATGTATTTGCTTAAATCTTTAAAGCCACTTAATTTCTTCCATCCTAAAAAAAAAAAATCTTGTCTGGGAAGAAAGCGTTCAGCCTGAGCCTGCTTATGCTCACATGGGGACATTGGAGCAGCTGCTGCTCGCTGTAAGCATAAGCAGCTGGGTCCATTCGTCCCTAACCTCATTTACATACTTGTCAGCTGTTCAGAGCAAGACAGGGAAAATAATCCCTTTGCTTGTCATAGGAGTTTGCAATTTTTGACTGTGCCCTAATTAGTGCACTGTTTCCTGGTACTCAGAGCTCAGGGCTGTGCTGCACGAGGCAGCAGCAATTTATGGGAGATGAAGTAGGTATGAATGAACCAGGAAGACAAGAAATTGGGGCTTTGAAGAAGGGGCCCAAGAAAGAAGCAAAGTTGACTGGAGGAAAATCTTCAAAGCTGGATAGAGGCTCTGTCTGCATGGAATTTTGGGGATGCAAGAACAAAAAGAATAAATGTAATTTATCTTGTTATTTAGGATCAATACCCAGCAGACAAAGAAATGGAAGATTAACTGTGAAGACCCAATAAAAGGTATGAGAGTTATTTGTGTATCTAAAGAACAAAGGGGACAACCTCCTCTTGATTTTAAGCCTTCCAGATGGATCCCACAATCAGCATAATACCCAAGCCAAAGCTTATAGGAGCTGCTATCTAACATTAATATTTGATCGACCCTAGGCTATCGAACCAGTTTGGTGTAGTGGTTAAAGCATCAGACTAGAAATTGGAAGAGCCATCAGTTCTAGCTCTGCCTTAGGTACAAAGCCAGTGATGTAACCTTGAATCAGTCACTTGTCTCAGCTTTAGGAAAGAGACAATAGCAAACCACTTCTGAAAACAACTTGCCAAGAAAGCTGCCCAGAGTTTTCTAGGCAGTCTCCAAGAATTGGATATGATTGAGTAGAGGGGGGATGGGGAAGGCTAGAGATAGTAGAAAACTCATACAAAAGTTAGCTGTAGGACAGAGAGATGCATCCATGGAATTCTGAAGCCACTTGAAATCTGCATCCCTATGTTTGAACATTTTGTTTGCTGAAACTTTCTTATGTTTTGTTGCAGTATACATGGATTACTAAGCAAATGTTTCCCTGTCCCTGAGATGGAAGTGCCAAGCATCAAGGATTTTCAGTGGAAAACCCTAGCACCTTTGCCTAGTCCAAGAGTCTATTCTTCCCTGGTAGAGGCTGGTGGACAAGTGTTTGCCATCGGGGGCTGTGATGACAATGGCGTGCCAATGGACAGCTTTGAAGTGTATTCCCCAGAAGCAAACCAATGGAATTCTCTGCCCCCAATGCCTACAGCCAGGGCTGGGGTAGCAGTAGCTACACTGGGCAAGAGGATAATGGTGATTGGAGGCATGGGAGCCCATCAGATGCCTTTGAAGATTGTGGAGATGTACAACATAGATGAGGGCAAGTGGAAGAAAAGAAACTCTTTGAGAGAAGCCTCAATGGGCATTTCTGTGTCAGTAAAAGGCAAGAAATTTAAATAAAATAAAATAAAGTATGTAGTAATTAGTGATTGGACTCATTTAACTAATGATAGAATACTGAATATCGAGGGACACGATCTGGTGTGTGGTTGGCATGCTTATTTGTTATTCAACAAAAAATTGGATAAGAAGTTTAAAAGTCATATTTTAAGAAATGCTTTACTGCGGGTCTGGAAAAATATCACTATAAATTAAATGACAAAATACCCATGTGGGCAATTCCTAGACATACAATTGAAAATATGAATGTAGAACAAAAACACGATAGAACTACTTACA